AATGACATTTTAGAATTAAGTGAAGTTTAATTTAAATGACATTTTTGAATTGTGAATTTTAATTTGAATGACATTTTTTTTAGAATCTGTCTCAAATTTGTTTTGCGATTCTAAATTACAATTTTATTAGAACTGAAATATTTTTCTAGGAAGTTTCCATGAAAAATGTATAATCAGGGAAGTTTAAAATAAAAGTGGAGAAAGGAATTTAAAAAAGAAAATTGATAAGCATGCAGGAGAACAGTCACTACGGAATAAGAGTATGCATCTTAACAAATATGTTTTTCTTGGTTTTAAGGGTTACAAAACAAACTGCAATAAGCAATTGTGTTTGTCTTGCCTCTGATTTTCGCACATCGAGAGCGCTCCTCTCGACTGAGAAAAACACTGATGTTATATAACTCTCCCAGTCTCAGACCCACGCTGACTATTGGCTAATACCTGCCCAGTATTCTTCATATGCAAATAGGCAGCGCCACCTACTCTCTAAGTACACGGCTTCTCTCAACAGCCCATTGTGGAAGGGGACGCAACTCCTGGTGCTTATAGCGCCACATACAACCAACTCGGGATCATTTATAGAACTGACCTGATTCTCTGTTACAGCAATCTAATTTTTTATTTTTATTTTTATCATCGTGTCGTTTTGTTGAAAGTATGCAGACATGCCTACTGATGCTCTTTATGCTTTTATAGCTACCGGTTTGCAACCATTTACTTCTCAGCATTTAAAATCCTAACATTTTTACGTTTCAATACCTAGCAATGGCACCAATAGGAAATGCACAACTACTGAAGCCTTCAAGCTGAATTTTCATTCACCCTTTTTGAAGAAACACTTAGTCTGGTACAAGGCAACAATAATTGGTGCACCTAGTGAGTAATGGTTTGCACAATTAATCTTCTAACCATTACTCTGTTTCAATAATCAGAATATCAAAAGTAATTGCGTGTTTCATTTAAAAAAAATAAATACATTAAAATGAAAAATAATTATGGTGTTGAGTTACCACCTCCTAACTTTCAAAACTGCTCCTAGGAGGCACTGGACTATAAGTACTCGGCGATATTTTTGTATCACTCTCTTCTCACCTTATCCGCTGACACATCAACATGTAAGTCTCACACAGAAAAAATGCGTTTCCTTTGGGAAACGCATTAACACACACACACACACACACACACACACACGTATGCACATTTGTTCACTACACATACTTTGGACCGTTAGGTTTTCACATTCATTTATTACACACATCATTGTCTTTGATACTGCCATACCTTTGTTAATCCATTATCATTTATTTGTACATATATATTGGTTCTTGTTTCTTTCCATTTCTTTACGTGGACTCACATCTCGAGTCTGCCATTTTTGTTGTGGGCATTTCAGGAGAAACACGTATTTATCTCTCAAGGCATACACTGGCCCGCAACACTGGTATTGGTAAAAGTAGCTATTTTATGGCACGTGGAACTAGAACAATCTATCGCCGTGGATGAAATAAAGGGTTCAGTTCGAAATTCCAACATATATCACCTGAAGAAGGTCGGAGCACACAACGGCTGAAATGTTATGAATATGACAGTAAAGATGACAAAGATGACAACAATCCGAATAACAAATAGTTACAATATAGACACATAGTTATTTAGGAAATTAGATTTCTCAAATTCACTAAATGTTATAACTCTTTCTAATATCAATGGGAGTTACCTTCCAAGCATTTTATTTTTGGTAGTGCAGAAAGTTAATAACTTCATTATATCATTTTTTCTTCTAGTTATAAGTGCTACCTATTTTTGTTGTTGCTGTGATTGGAAGAGTTTAAGTGATGTGGTTTTTGTTATTTAGTAAAGCTCTTAAAGAAAGCACTTCTTCATCAGATGCTATAGCCTGCTGCTACAAAATCGCAAGTAAAGAGCTTTACCAATTAACAAAAACCATTTCGCTTGAATACTTCTATAGTAGGATTAGGTAGTAGTAACACCATATGGAAATATACACTTTCCTTTTCACTAAGAGAGTGACAAAGAAAACTCTCTCTCTCTCTCTTCTCTATTACACATACTTCCTTTCCTTCCTTCTATTGTTCCTATCCTTGGTAACTGACAAAACCCAGACATAGCTTATGTGGGTCATTGGAGGTCATAAAAATAATCAACCAATGACAACATGTCCCTCCAAAAATCAAACGGAAAACACGGATGTGTCAGGCCCAATAAAAAGAAGAAAAAAAAAACACGCGTGCAGCAGAAGAAGTGAGAAATTGGTTCGATGTAGCAGTTCGAGACGCAAGGGTTGGAGATTTATCGGATGTGAGTTTGACTGGACAGGCAAGTCCAGAAGAAAAAGAAGAAGAAGAAGAAAGGATGAATTCAACAAATTAATTTCTGTCAGCCAAAAACACAACGACTCTGTATGAACTCTAAAATCACAAAAGGATTGAGACGATAGTCACTTACTTTAACCACTCTAACCAAATGGAGTCAGTAATAAAATGGTACTATAGACAGTAAATTTGGCCTTTACTTATGTATTAGCCCAACCATCATCTCTATATACCATACTTCCAATGGCAACAACAAGAAAAATGTTTAACACACATAACTAGAAGTATAACTAGTTAGATGTTTACTTTCCACACTACCTTAAAGAAAATGCTAGGAAGGAAACTCCCATTAGTACAAGAAATAGGTATCCCAAACTATTTCTTTTGTGCACACCTAAATTTTTAAAAAAAGTCCAAAATCGACAAACTTAATTGGTGAGATCTTGTTGGGATTAGAGATCAAGTGAATTAAAACTAAAAGGAGTGTGTGAAGATATATGCCCTAGTAATATATATATATATATATATATATTATCAAAGTTTTTTATTTTGTATTTCATTTTTTGCGAATGAACCAAATAATGTTTTTGGCAAAGTACCTGCAAAAGAACAAAAAAACAAAAAAACAAACAAAAAACAAAAAATACAAATGCTGTGTCAAAAGGACAGTTTCTTTTTTCTTGACGCCATTTTTACTGTATTCTTTCTCAATTCCCTTGGTAACAAACTATAAAATGATTACATAATTACTTATTCTAGTGTATCACTACTTAATATTACTTACAAACAATTATTACCACGTGATGCAAACAAGAGACAGTTCATTAAACCAATTAGCTGTACATAATTAACAGTGTCTTTTTATAGTCATATATCCATTGTGTTAATATCAACTAAGACTGTTCATTTTTTTACATTTAAGTAGCAAAGTAATCATTCTAAGTAACACAGTTAATCAAAATAAGTGTCCAGGAATTTGTTGCATTTTAACAAAAATGTTAGGTTACTCAGTGTTTCCTTCTGTCCATCTTGTTTTCAGTATGTCCTGTGAGTGTCAAATTCTCCAACCTCTTTGATTCTAGCATCTGTCTGTAGAACCACGTCTGTTGCTTCAAGCCTCTTCATTTGAAAGGAAATTATCCAGCATTCATGATCATACAGGAGGATTGCAATGACGGTAGTTCAGCACTAAATATAGAATTGAATGTATTTGTTTTTTTTTTACGGCTTATCAACCTTTTGATGAGGTCTTTAATGCCAGAAACTCTATATAAAACAATTACATGATTACTTATCACTTTTACTATTAATTACAATTATTACCACGCGACGAAAACGAGAAACAGTCCATTATTTAAACAAATTAGTTTCACATAATTAACAGTGCCTTTTTGATATGTCCATAATGTTATCATCAATTTTTTTACATTAAGTAGCGAAGTAATCATTCTAAGTAACACGTTTAATTGAAATAATAATTTGTTGCGTTTTAATAACAGCAAAAATGCTACACAGTATTTAGTTGTTAGCTTGTTTTAATTCTATATCTACAAGGTTCTAAAAATATTTGAACCAACTACAATGCAATATTTATCATTTACCATTTTATAATGATTTATTATTTACCATTTTATAAAGAAATGAACACGAAAACAAATATTTTTATTTTTAAAAAATTATAAAAATTAGGGAGAGAAATGGCCGGAAAATACACTTTTCCAAAATTTATAATTATAGTTACTCATCATTATCTGTTCATTTTCTTGTTCACAAACATTTTTATAAATTTACAAATAAAAAAAATATTTCCATATTATTCCTTTTTATAGAATGGTAAAAAATAAATTATTATAGAATGGTAAAAAAATAAATTATTATAGAATGCTAAAAAATAAATTATTATAGGATGGTAAAAAAATAAATTATTATAGAATGGTAAAAAATAAATTATCATAGAATGGTAAAAAAATAAATTATTATAGAATGGTAAAAAAATAAATTAAATATTTCATTATCGTTGGTTCACATATTTTTATAATTTTGTAAAGTTTTATAAATTTATGAATAAAAATAGTGCTTTCCTATTTATTTATTACTTTTCTAAAATGGTAAATAAACATTGCATTATAATTTGTTTCTTCACACATTTTTATATAAATTATAAAATTATTCTTGGAAATAAGCAATCTAATGAATAAATAAATAAATAATGTTTATTATATTTGTTGTCAGTTCTCCAGAACAAAGAAAATGTATAAATCCACTTACATAGGTTTTATTAAAATTCTGAATATAGATTTTTTTAAAACAATAAAAATGGAAGAAAATATAAGAGCAGTGTCAAAGGAAAACCGTCCTTTTCACAGTTGCAAGGATGAAACTTTCCTGGATTTGTTTGCGATTTTATAGTTATCTCCCTTGAACCAACTAAAATAATTTATAACTGGACCCATAGAATTTTATGGATGACAGGTTGATATTTTGATATATTGTCTTTTCATTTTAAGTGGGATCAATTGTAAACTTTCATTCAATCAATACCCATAGTCATATACTGCATTAGAATAAGGTTTCCTTCACTCATGGAAATTCCATGTATTTTTTTTTTTTAAATATTTTTTATCGGGCTGTCATATTTCATATTATCATTCCATTTCACCGAAGCAGATGTTAAAACGCATGAGAGTGTTTATCGCTTCTTTCTTTTTCTTTCTTTCTTTCTTTCTTTCTTTCTTTCTTTCTTTCTTTCTTTCTTTCTTTCTTTCTTGAAACACACACATATATATACACACAGGGTGGGGCGAAAATCTTGTCACCCCCTATCTCTCTTCCAAATTGTAGGAGCTCGTGTCAGCTATCTGAAACAGAAAATTATATTGTGTATGGGTGACAAGACTTTCGGACCACCCTGTATATATATATATATATATATATATATATATATATATATATAAATTCATGAAAAATTCATACATAAAACAAATATAGGGGTTAATGATTTAAATGGCGAGAATACATCTTCGCAAACAATATAAATAAGATACATCAACCCCGAACCTGTATGTGAATGATATGATCCCTGTTCATAAATTCCAGTTGCATAAGGTCTTTTAATTTTTACAAGCTTTTGTCTGTTCCTACAGACATCCTCAGGTATGGAAATAGATTTTGTTCTTGTTTTTTTAAGACATTTCATGTTTATACATTCTTTTTAGATACAAATATTTAAGTAAATGCTTTCTTTATAATAAACAGTATTAAACAACATTTGCCGGCCTGAATGTCCGAGAAATTTTCATAGGCCGGTAAATGTTGTTTAATACTGTTTATAAACAAAGCATTTACTTAAATATTTGTATCTAAAAAGAATGTATAAACATAAAATGTCTTAAAATAATTGTCGTACTTTGCATATTTTCTAAGTCTTTGCATATTCTCAGCATTGGAAGCTCTCCTGGCTGCCGTTTGATCTGGGATTTTCTTTTGCACAGGACTTACTTTCCCTTGCTGCAGGCTTGGCTCTTTTGATTGCAATCTGGTCAATCTGTTAGCAGAGTTTTATTTTTGCGAGGCATACTGCTGCCGTATGTGATAGGCTATAATAAACTTATAGAAGAACTCAAAATTGATCGCTGCATTTAAGTATTGCATTAATATTTAAACTTACTTTTTAAAAGTTCAATGATAATTCTTCTGCCGATACTTAATTTAAAGAAAATTTGATGTGCGTAGGTTCTTACTTTCTGCAAAAACAATTATTTATATTTCATGGGTGACTTTTTCTGGATATCGCATTTAATTTCAATTATTCCCAAATTTATTTCCAAGGTTTAAAAATTGTTATTGTACAAAACAAATTTGTTACAAAAACCGTATAAAAACATCGCCGAAACCAATCGCAGTAATGAAAATTTGGAAATCCAAATTTTCTGTAACATGAGCTATTGAAAATTTGAAAGTTGTTTCCCTTTAATTGAAAAAGTGTGACACAGTGACACAGTGACATTAGCATTTATTATATAGAAGAGCATATCATGCTTTAGATAAGAATAGTGGAGTTCGGTTTGGTGCTTTGGATATCCCAAAGGCATTTGGCAGGATTTAACATATTGGTCTTCTTCCCAAGTTTAAAGGTTATGGCATTTCTGGATGAATTTTTGAACTGATTCAGTCTTTCTTATCAAATCGCGAAATGAAAGTTGTCTTCAATGGCCACTCTTCTAAAGCTTTTTACATTTTTGGATAGAGCCTATTCCAGCGCACTACCCTTGGGCTGACGTTATTCCTAATTTTAATCAACGACCTTATGCTGATGATACAGTTATTTACTCATGTCTCAATAGTAAGTCTGATCAGTTTACTCAGGTCAAATTGGCCGCTGATTTAAAAAATGACCCACGTTTTGTTGTTAAATGGGGTAATGAATGGCATGTTAATTTTGAGGCCTCCAAAATGAAAATCCCTTCTATCAGCATGGCTAATGCTAACCTCCAGAAGTGTGACTCATTGTGCCTTCTTGGACTAATATTTTCGGCTGCCGTGAAATGGAAATATTTTATTGAATCATTTGCTAGGACTGCTGTTAGGAAAGTTAGTTAATTGTGTCATGCTAGACAATTTTTCTCACCAGAATTTATCTTACATATGTATAAGTCTACCATTCATCCATGCTTTGAATATTGCTGTCATGATCTTGTGCTCCTGCTATATATTTAGAGATCCTTGATAAAATCCCAAAAGAATCTGCAATGTCATTGATCCTGTCTTGACATCTTGGCTTCAGTCACTTTCGCACCACTGTAATGTAGCTTCTCTGTGCCTTTTATATAAATACTTTCATGGTAATTGGAACTTTTCTTTATGTACCTAGACTTTATGAATTTAAGCACAGTACTAGATTGGTGGTAAGATCTCATCATTTTACAGTTGGAATGGCTAGATGTAACCGTAAGTTCTATGCTAACAGTTTCTTCTTACGCACTTCTTGCTTATGGAACTCTCTTCCGATTTCTTGCTTTCCAGTCGTTTGATCTTCCAAAATTTAAATGCAATGTCAATCATTATTTTCTGTCTTCTTAATTCCTGTTCTATTATTGTTCTTGCTCCTCAATGTTTTTTTTTCTTATATTCTTTCACATTCAGTAATCCTTTGCGTCTTAGTGGCTTTATTATCTTGCTTGGGATGAAATGATAAAGAAAAGAGTAAGCATTTGGCAAAGTTTTTTAAGCAATGTTTAACCTTTGTATCCACAAAAACGATGTCAGGGTGGTTATTTCCTTGAAACTACTTTTAATGTATAAATTTTTGAATCCCACAACAATGTTTATTTACAAGGTTATAAAAAATATCAGAACCAAATACGATGTGAGATTTATTATTTAACTTTTATAAAGATACATTATTTACCATTTTATAAAGAAAGAAATTTGAAAATTTTATTCAAAAATCTATAAAAAAATTTACAAAGTTATCAAAATATGCAAACCAACTACAATTCAATATTTATTATTCACCATTTTATAAATAACAGTGAAAATAAGTATTTTTATATTCGTAATTTTATAAAAATATCAATGAACTATTGTTGTCAAATCTCAAGAATAAGGAAAATACATAAATCCATTTTAATATATTTGGGTTTTAATCATCGCTTTTTAAAACAATAAACATTGCTAGAGGAATCAAAAGTGTATACATTATCGGTGTGAATGGAATAACCGCCCTTTTTTAACATAGTGTTTATTTTTCAGGCACAAAGATTAAACATTGCCGTTTTTTATGTCTTCATAATGAAGAAAAAGGAAAATTAAAAAATAAAATAAAATCGAAGAAAAGATCAAGACGTTTTGCAGTTTCTTTCATTTTTCTTTCATCTTTATTCCCGATTCTTTGCTTGACTTCGTATTTTCTTTGTTTTCATGTCAACTGGATGAGTGATTTATTTTAAAATTGAAATTATTCACTCGCGTTTTTAGTCGCTATAATAACCCATTCCTTTCATTTGATATATATATATATATATATATATATATATATATATATATATATATATATATTAAAATTCTTTTTGATATCTTTATTTTCCTTTCTTTTTCTTCTAATGAAATATATTTCTTTAATATTTATATTTTCCAAAAATAGATCTTTATTAAAAGAATTGTCGTTTTTACTGTTGTTAGAAAAACAAGAAAATAAAACAAGAATAAGAGTGGACAATGGTAGTGGCGGCAGCGGCGTTGGTGGTGGTGGTGGTTTGTCGTTTTAGTTGTTGTAGTAGGAAGTCATGTGTCGTAAAAATAGTAATACATTTTTTTTTCCATTTTATTATTATTACTTTTTTTTTATCACAGCATTCTGGGTCGATAACTCTCCGACCGCTAAAATAAACGGCGCAAACTTAAAAATAAAGGTTTACCAGCAGGGCCAGGGTAGGGAGGTTGGACAGTAATGCGTTCCAGCCGTAGGAGGCAGTTCGCACCAGTCTTTTTACTTCTTCCTAGGCAAGGGGGCAGGGTCATTAACTGGCATCCGAGGAGTTCCCAAAAGGGGCTTGAGTAACTTTTGTCCCGAGTTCACGGACGCTTGATCTATCAACGCATTTTAAACCCGACTTTGTGTCACATTCCACTTGAGTAAGGGGGCAGTAAAAAAACTACTTTGTATGTAAGTTTTTAATCTGTAAGCCACGTCATGCGAAAGGTTACAAAAGATTCAGTTTATAGTGTGAGATTTCGGAAGCTGATCAAAAATTGCTCAAGTCTCCTGGCACTTCTCTTATTAGGGACCCCCCCCCCAGATACCGGGTAGTGAACCCCAGCCCCCTCCCAAAGTAGAGGTACTACCTGGGGTTTGGTCCTCTTGGAGCTTGAGCTGATTAATTTGAAACTCCCCGGCTGGGAAATCCTGCAGATCCCATCCACACAAGGATACAACCACACTGCAGTAGGTGTTATTACTGTGGTAGGTTCCTACGATTGGAATTGCTTGCCTCACGCCCAACCAGTTTTGAAATCAGAGTTGTTCTCCTAGACTGGTTTCCAACCATGACTAGAGAGCCCAATCTGCCTTGCTGTTAGCCACTAGCTGGAGAGAGAAGAGCTTTCCTTGCGCATATCTATTATTTACTTTAGCGTCCCGAATAATACATCAACCCAGAGTGTTGTAAACATGGATAAAAACTACGAATAAGATAATAGTAATAATGAAAACGCATAGCCTAAAAAATAATTAAAATTTGTTGTTATCGACTTAATAAATTAATATTAATATATACTGCCACTGTAGAAGCATTACTATTATTATTATTATTATTAGTAGTAGTAGTAGTAGTAGTAGTAGATATGAAGGATATAAAGTATTTGTAGTCAATTTTTTCCAGTAAATTTGAATTTCGTTTAGAGGAGTTATTTTAATATTTCTACACTGGAAAGCATGTTCTTCAGAGTTACTTTCGTTGCCTTTTATGTAGTAGATACTAGTAGTAGTATATATATTTTAATCTGTAATCAAGTAAAAAAAGGTAAAACTAATCACCAGATTTCCTGAGAAACTATATTGCAAGATTAATATTAGGATCATTTATAGTAGTATTTAATGAATATTGTATTTTCTTGTGTAGAATACGACTTGCGTCTAATACAGCTCCGTGATTCTGAAGCTAAACACA